TAGCAGATGGTAAGCCATTGATAACTGGATTTAATGATAGAAATGGTTCTAATGCTGGGCCAAAATTCAACATTGCATTTTTTAAAAACAACTATTATTTGAAAGGATGAAATTTGCTTTTATTCAAGACATAACTTTCTGTTTGTGTTTTGAGTTATTTTGGAGAGACCTTTAGTCTTTTGCAAATATGATGAAAGCATTTTGCATTGTGGGATGAATTGAACCTTGGGGCCGGGTGTGTAATGCTTTCTTGGAATGGATGGTGTATGCTGACAAGATCTGGTGGCCCACAGGCTTCCCATTCTACCACAAGCCTGAAACCTGGTTTTTACTCTTTCCCTTCTGAACTTGGATGAATGTAATGGCTGTGTGGATAGTTGCCTGTGGCAGGGGAGGAGGACTATGAAATCTCAGCTCCCCTGTCCAAGGCAGAGTTGGAAACTTGAAAACCTGTCATACCCCAGTTCTGTGCAGTTGGCTGAGGTTTCCCTCTCTGAGTTTGCAGAGTGGTTGTTATGCTCAGAAGTTGAATTGATGAACTCTTCATTGCTGTAATGAAATGCAGGAGCGTGGGTACATGTGAAGTACAGGATTATTGAGCTGACATTGCTGGAGTCTCATCACAACAATGGCTCTAATGAAATGCATGAGGGTGGGTAGTGGCAAAGAAGAAGCTTGCTGAGTTCACAGTGGTGGCGTCTTATCACAAGAACGGCTCTACACAGGACTCCTTTCTGCAGGTATCATGGAGCCCACTATCTGTCATTTCCATATCATTTACTTTTATTTATTGGACTATTCCCAAACAGGTTCATGTGCTTTTGATGAAAACCACACTATAATTTTTAATGAGTGAAAATACTATATAGTTAGTACATCACAAACTTCAATCACCAATTACTTTGATTTTATTTCTTATAAACTTTATTTCAATCTTTTCTAAGTCATTCAACTTCAAAGAGCTAAATTAGATTTCTATTTTCCTTAACTAAACCAAATTTGATCTATCTATCTATCTATCCACACATTTACCACTCATTTACTATTTGTCACCTGTATTAATTGGGATTATCCAGCAAAATACAACCACTATACTATGGAAATGGAGACATTCCAGCGTGAGCAGGCTGCAAACGAGAGACACAGTTGTATATGGAAAGTTCTGGTCTAAGTGCAGATGAAGAGAAGGCCTAAGATGAAGATGATCCAGCTGGAAGATGTAAAGGAGAGAAAGGGTGATAAAGAGAGAGTCAGAGAGAGAGAGAAGGAGAGAAGTACTAAGAAAGGTTTTCAACTCACACCTATGTTCTCTGAAACAATCTTGACCATAGTGGAAAGAATGCACACATTGCTGATATCAATATGAAATTATTGATATTTGATCTAGTGATTAAGTTGCATGGAATTCTATGTAAACATAAATTAAATACAATACAATTTATTAACTTATGTATGACCATCCATGAATTTGGGCAAACACATGCAGTTATATATTCCTCACTCAAAACAAGACATAGGACACTCCTGTTCCCTCAGGAAATCTGGAATTCCAACTGAAGTCATCATTCATGCACCTCAGTCAACGCTGATCACACCCATGCCACTGCTCCTCTGCAGACTGCATGCCACACACTTCAGGCTCAGTGTGTTTATCCTTTGAGGCTGGCTTCTTTCTAGAAAGGCTGTGCTTGTCAGGTTCACTAATATTGTGGTGTGTATCAGTCTTTTCACTTTTAGTCAGAAAATAGGATTTCATTTCTCTTCCTTTTTTAGCAGCAAGACTTCTTGACTGCTTCCATGTGGTTGTAATAGGTAAATCTCCTGCAGAACCCTCCACAGTTTCTGTGTGTGAAAAGAAGTGTTAGTTCCATTTAGCCATTATCTCCAAGTTGAGTTGCACCTGTGGCCTGTGCTTATTTATCTACGCTCATAAGAAAGTGGCAAGTCTCCAAGTAGAGGTGCAATTTACTTTACACCAGCAGCCATTTTTCTGATTCAGTCCCCACTTTACAGTGGGAAATGATTCCAACTCCTCTTGCTTATTCTTATTCATGTAGTCAGAAATGGAGAACAATCTCTCCTACAGAAAGGTCCCTGTTCACAATAACTGTGTATCAAGGATAAGAACATAGAAATTCCAGTGAGACTCTGGGATCACATAATGTCTGCTTTTAAGTTATGTCTTCTGAGTTTGACTTTGGAAGTTCACTTGATGGCCTAATGGTCATGGAGAGATTATCCTTGAGTAGGCAGGGATCTAAGGTGAAAATGGGAAGACTGAGACCGACAGGAGAGGACATTGAATGACGATGAGCACATGATAAGGATTTGAAGATGGTGTGACTATGACAAGAGCTCATTCTACGTTCTCCCTGGACAGGCTGTGGGTTTTCCACATTTTCCGCACGGCTTTCCTTTGCTTTGAGTATGCTATAAATTTCACTGATTGAGGCACACAATGAACCCAGGGCCTTGCAAGTGTTAGGAAGCAGTTTACCACTTGGGCCATGCCTCCTATAGCTTTTGTGTTAATTTTTATTTTATTTTAATATTTTTATAATTGTTTTACTGAGGGCACATTGTGACATTCACAAAATTTCTTATAATATATTACCTTTGAATTCACTTCCTCCATCATTCTCTTTTCTCCCTTCCTCATTCCTGAAATATTTTCCACAAGGTACCATTTTTTCCACTTTCATACATGAGTACATAATATTTCACTATACTCATTTTCCTTATTTAGTTTTTTTGGGGACAGGGTTTTGATATCTTTGCTCTGCTGTTCTTGAATTCTCAATCCCAACCTCTGCCCTTCGAATAGCTGGGATTTCAGGTGTGTGCCAAAATATGTGACTTATTTCACCATTCTTATACATAGCCTCCCTCAAAGCCCTTGGGTTCAGACCCCAGTGCATCCACCTACTTTCCATCTGTGTGACTAGCATGTCACTTAATTTCCAATTTTTAATGGAATATTTAATACCATACAATGCCTGGTCATCATGACCTGCTCTGTCCACATTCCTGTCAGCATTCCCCATGTGCCCACAAAGCAGTTCTCTAGCAAGTTCTCACTCTCCCCAATCTCCTCATCCTTAGAGGCCTCTTCAGTATCACTCAAAATCTGTGTTCTCTGCAGTGCAGACTTTTTCCTCTTTTCCCTCAGAATCCTCCAACCCATACCGTCACCCAGTTCAAGACTTGCTTCCGTGTTTTCATGTAAAATCACAAATGCAACCTCACACTTCAGCACCAATTGTCTCTGTTAATCAATTTTGTGTGGCTATAAGAAATTACATGAAATTGAGTAATTTACAAGGAAAACTTGTTCGTTGGCTCACATGGGGACTGAAATGTCCAAAGTGAAGAAGCCACCAGGCAAGAGGACACATGCTTCATCATGTCTGGGTGGATGGCGTCACAGGGGAAGAGGCTGTGTGGGAGTGGCGAGCAATGTAAGAGGAGACAAACATGGAGAGTGGCCTTACTTTGCAACCAGCAGCTCTCATGCTGTCTAGGACAGGCCCTGGAGATCTCACCCAGGCCCGTGATCTAGGCATCAACCACTTCTGCAGGTAGAGCCCCATGACATAATTACCTCCCACTAGGTTATACCTCCTGAAGTTCCCATCTCCTCCTAACTCCTTTGCACTGGGGTCTAAGCTTTTTGAGCACTGAGGGATGAGAGAGGCCCAAATTCTCCTTTCAAGAGAATCTAGAAATCTTTGGAAGAAGGTAAGTATTAATTACTGTGAATTGTTGCTGAATCGGAAAAAAATTAACAACTTAACAAAAACATTTAACATTTGAACATGCATCAAGGTGAATATTTCTGGAGAAATATTCTTAGTCTGAACATCAAATTCCAGTGGAAATCAATAATTATTGAGGTTCATGAATGGATACAAGGAATGGAGGAGAGGGCCCTGTCTGTGTGCATGTCTTGTTGCAATGGGATAACGGGGAGAAATGACAGAGGTGTCAGCATCTGTAAATGTAAATTCATATGGAAGGTTCAGATTATCTTTTCATATTCCATGGTGGTGTACTTACACTTTTTGAATTTTATGTTTTACTCTTACTTTTTTCCACTGAGCATTTCTTTTTTTAATTTAAAAAAAATTTAAAATTTTATTCATATGTGCATACAATGTTTAGATCATTTCTCCCCCCTTCCCCCGCCCCCTCCCTTACCACCCATCTCCTCTCTTTAGCCCCCTCAAACCCTCGCTACCAGGCAGAAACTATTTTGCCCTTATCTCTAATTTTGTTGAAGAGAGAGTATAAGCAAGAACAGGAAAGAACAAGGGTTTTTGCTAGTTGAGATAAGGATAGCTATACAGGGAGTTGACTCGCATTGACTTCCTGTGCATGTGTGTTACCTTCTAGGTTAATTCTCCTCGAACTAACCTTTTCTCTAGTTCGGGGTCCCCTTCTCCTATTGGCCTCAGTCACTTTAAAGTATCTTCCACTGAGCATTTCTGTTCTCTTCCACTTCTGTTGTGATTTGTCCTCAGGACACAGATGCAATTGTCACAAATGTTCTCAAGTAACAATTGATGACTTATTTATTCCCTGGTGGATCTGGGTGGAGACATTTCCCACACTGTTTTGTTCAACACTTTCTTTTCTCTGCTTCTAGTTGAAACCTTAGACAATGAGCTGCCCATTTTTATGAAAGCATGTTATGAAGTCATACATCCTTGCTTTCAAGAAATAACATTAGCATTGTTTGAAACTGTTCCTTGACTTGAGATCTGTCATGATGGCAGTGATCACTCCAGAAAAAAAACAGCATACCACAAAAATGTCCTCCCAAATTCATGGACCTTGTCTGAGGACTCATCCTGGAAACATTCCATGGCTGACCACAATTCTTTTCCTCCATTTCTCACTTCCAAATCACTAACCCACAGTCTGAGTTCGGTTGCATGGAGTTGACCTGTCCCTGTCTTAGTTTGGCAGAAGCAGCTTCTCTCTCAGGGTTTCTGACACCCTCAGGATGTGGTTTTCACACTGTGCCTTGCACAGTAATACATAGCTGTGTCCTCAGACTTCAGGCTGTTTATCTGCAGATATGCGGTGCTGACAGAGGTGTCCATGGAGAAGACAAATCGCTCTGTGAAGCCCTCATTGTACATAGGTTTTCCAGTTTCAGTGTTGATCCATCCCATGTACTGCAAGCCTTTTCCTGCCTCCTGCCTCACCCAGCTCATACCATAGCTGGTGAAGGTGTATCCAGAAGCCTTGCAGGAGACCTTCACTGTCTCCCCAGGCTTCTTCAGCTCAGCCCCAGACTGTGTCAGCTGGATCTGGGAGTGGACACCTGTGGAGAGGACACAGGGAAGTCAGGGGCCTAGAGCTTCCTCAATCTGCTCTGCAACACTGAGTCTTTGTCCTACCTGGGGCAGCTGCCAGCAGGAAAATGATCCTCCACGTCCACTCCATGCCCTGGGATTTGGACTGAGTTGTCATTGAGATCTATGGGAGAAGCCTTGGTGGATGTAGTCAGTGGAGACTCAGCTTTCTACTCTCTGGGGCACTGGAGATTTGCATATGACTCAACTCCTCAACAACTGCTGGACCAAAGGGGCATGGACAACCTGATGCCATCAAAGACCCCAGCACCTGGTGGCTGGGCTGTGCCCTCCAGATTCTGATGCCTGATTCTTCCTGCTGTTGGTGATTTCTTCAGAAGGGCCTGGTGCTGGTCTGCTCAAATACCTCTTGACTGACACACTTCAAGGTGTCATGGCTCCTTCTTGCATCCTGGAAGTTGAAACAGGCCACGTCTCCCCTCACAACATCATGCTGTCATCCATCTGGTATCTGTGAAAATTTCATTACTCCTCTCTGACTCACCACAGACAGACCCTCTCTACTCCCATGTCTCCTGGATTATTTCTTCACTACCCACTCCCTGAGGAATTGGAATTATTTCTAACCACTTAAGTGGTCTCCTTCCTGTTTCTCGTTATATCAGGTAGAAGTTAGATACATTTAAACATGCAATATTGGCCATATCTTTAATTTCTTCATTAATGTAGTAATAAAAAAATCAATAAGGAATTATTAAAATAATTACTTAAAAAGAAAATAACAAATGTGAAAACTCATCCAAGACATTGTGAAGTCAGGGCTTATTATTTGAATTAGTCCAGATCTGACAATATTCCTATAAAAACCTGGAGAAACTGTAGCATGGATGAATAACCATGAACAGAAGTACAGATGTGGTAATTTGCAAATACAGTGGATAATCTCAGTTTAGTTTCATGATGTTAGAATTTCATTCTGTTATGCTAAAATGTTATGAGACTGCACACAGTTATGAGGATATAATAGAATTCCCTTCCATATTTGAGACATTCCAGTTGGGTCATCTGACCTCACACAGTGTACACAAACTTCTCTTTCCATTTAAAGCAAGTTTATCCATATCATCTCCGCCAAGTCCTAGAGAGGAGGCAATGTCTTCATGGCATACAAGGCTATCCATGACTTCCTGCTCCAAGACCCCTCATAACAGGAAGAGTTGCCTCTCCCGTGGCACTGGCACTTTATTGACCGTACCCACACCTCAGATGCCATTGAGAAATTCTGGACAGCGACATCATAATTCTATAGTACTGGACTCTACATCAGCATGGGCATGGGTTCATAAAAACACTGGATGAGAATAGGGACAGGGATAGTTCAGGGCTTTCTGAAATGGACCAGAATTCCAGCTTCAGTTCCAACAGACAAAAGAGTTTCATCAGTTACCTCTGTACAAGGTGAACAGAGAACCACACTGGAAAATAAGAAGAATTCTAGGATCCACTAGAGAACAGGGTTCAGAAGGCAATCTGCCAACATGAAGTGTAGGTCACGTGCATCCAGAGACAGTGGAGTACTGCTGGAAGAAGAAGCCCTGTGCTATGTTTTGGACCCTAAATTTCCTCAGAGGTCCTAGAGTTTACTTTAGGTCTCCAGCTTGGTTGTGTTGTGGAGTGGTTGAGTCTTTAGGGGATGGAGCCAGCAGGAGTCCATAGTTCTATGGGACATGGTGCTTTAGGGGATGTGGGTCTCAACCACCTCCTCTCTCTGTGTCTCCATGGAGTCAGCAGCTTGCTGCACCACATGCTCCCCACCATTGTGCTCCTCATCACCGCAGGCTCAAAAGTAGCCAAGCCAGTAACCATGGACCAAGACCAATAAGACTGAGAAAAACAGCCCTCTTCTCATTCTAAGTTGGTGCTCTCAGATATTTGTCACAGGGACATAAAGATGAAAAATAGCCCTGGAAACACAAACTGGTACTGACACTGACAAAAGCATTTGATGATTTCTTGGAGGTTGTGTGGACTCTCATCAGAGTGAGACATGCACCAGGCCCACTCTTCTCCTCTAAATGCCAATCAGTTTCAAACTGAAAATCTAAATGACCTACCATATCTCTGGTAGGAGGAGAGCAGAGACAATCATTTGGAAATGCACTTAGTTCTTTCTCCATCCCAAAGCCTACCATCCAGCAAGTCTGCTACATAGACTCACCCTGACTGTGAGATGGGAATACTTGCCTGCTTCAGCATCAGAACCAAATTCAGAGTAGAAGTCAGATTTTAAAATCAAAGAAACAACAGGATAATTTCCAATAGAAAAACAACAAAGGTAAAATTAGAATTGTAGGAAAAAATACAACTCGAGGCAAATGTCTAATCACAAAGTTTGCAAGGAAGAAAGAAGTCATTTGTGGTATTAAAGAGTTTAAAACAGGGAGTTGGAGGACAGGATGGCTGTGGTTGTAAGCCAGCCCTTGTAAATGGTCAGCAAGACCCCATCTCAATCAATAACCTGGTGTGCTGGTGCATGCCTGTGTTTCCAGTTATACAGGAAAGCATAGGAAAAGGGACACAGTATGAGGCTTGCATCAGCAAAAAAAAGCAAGACCCTAAAGGAAAATTCATTACATTTAAACAGTTGTGCGACAACTCCCTAGTAGTGAGGTACCTGCCTATCTCAGTGAGGGCCTGAGATCAAACTCTGCCTTGCAGGTAGATGTCACAAGTGACATTTGTCCTAGGAAGTCAAACAAGTGGGGGCTTCCATGTTGAGGAATGGTCACTCTCACGTCAGGGAGCAGGAACCCAGACCTGACAGGAAGTCTCTCACAACCTCCCCTGTCCCTGCCCTTGCCCCAGGGTGTGCCTCTGGTCAGGGAGCATTTCATGCCCCTCGCAGGCCACTCTGCATCCCTACAGGAGGACACTGATTCCACCTCCATGAACAGAACTAGGTGTAGGTATCCTCTGCTCTTTTCATGTCAGGAACAAACTCAGCTGCCTCCCACCCTTTCCTGGTGACATGGTATTGGAGTCAATGAGATTTGAATTAACCGTTTAGGAAATTTTTAAGCTATGCCTAAAACAATTTTTCATGTTTTATTGTATATTTTGGCATTATAATTCCAGAGGCACCAGAGGCGTTAGACTTCATTCAACAAGCAATTTGATGTGGCTACAATCAGAGACCTGGTTTATCCAGAAGTATTTCCCTCACTTTACTCTGGGTTCTAGGGGTCTTTAGGGCCACCTGATGGGGCTGGTGGGGAGGGGGAGGAAGCAGAACCCAGAGTGCCTGTGACTGAAGCATGGGAACTTTTCTCTTTTCTCTGGTAACAGTTTTACAGTTTGAGATCGTAGGTAAGTGTTTATTCTCTTTTGTGTTGTCTCTAACATGTGACATGAGAAAGCATCAATTTCAATGTTCTGTGTGTGATGTCAGATTCCCTATCACCATTTATTGATGACTGCCATTTCCCCTTGGTCAATTGTTGACATCTTTGTGAAAATTAATTACTCTGTGAACCCATCGGTTTTCTTTCTATACTCTCTCTACTATTCCATTTATCAGTGTGTCTGTTTTTATGTATTTTTGGATGCATTATTTTCAATGCACCGTGCTTTCTATGTTGTGTTTAAGAAACACTTAACTGATCCAATTTCACACAAATTCTGTTCCATTGATCCATGTGTCTAACCCTCCAACTATTCTACACAGTCCTGATTATCATGCTCTGAACAAGTATATTCTGTCTAAATAGATTCGGGGAGATGGATGTCATTCAGTACCTAAGAAAGCACTGTGACCCACTGCCTTTGCTTTGGGGCCTGAACTCCTCGGTGTTGTCAACGAGCGCCCCCTTGTGGTCACATGCATCCTGTGCTGTGTTGATCCTCTCTAGTCCTGAGCACATGGAGGGCAGGGATTGTGACATGTTTATGCTCACCTCCCCAGATCCGAAACAATAATACCCAGTGATGTCCTAGATGTAGAGATGTACCACTTGCAGATACAATTTATTCCTGGCAGTGTTTTATTATTTATTCCTGGTATGTGCTCCATCCTTCTGGTTAATATTTGCAATGAAGCTCACCCTGTTTCCTGGATAATGGCAGGGCATCATTATAGGAGCTACTGAAGGTAAATCCAGAGGCTGCACAATCCTCCCCAGACTCCAGAATCCAGCTACACCTCACACTGGGCATCTGCAAACAGAGAATCCTGGTCAGGAAACTGTCACACACACCCAATGTTCCTCTCACTCATGTCCACTCACACACTCAGAATCTCCTTTTTTCACAAATCACCTTTTAAAATAGCAAAAAGGAAAATCCAGCTCAGCCCCATCTCCAAGGTGAGTGGTCTGTGTTCAGTGCTGATCACTGGATGAGTTCATCTTGGAATCAAGGGCTGGGCTCTGTTTCCAGAGCTGAGGGTTCAGGGATGGAAGTTTTTTATGATCACAGGGAGGTCCTACTTTACTGTATTCCTACTATTTCAGAAGGTTCTGTGTTTGGATGTCTATAGAGATAGTGTTCAGAGGAGAAGCAGAGTCTTTGTGGCAGTTGGTGGCCATGACAGCATTTGGAAAATGCTATCCAGTGTTGTGAGATGGAGATCAAATCTCATTACCCATTTCCTTTTTTATTCACAACTCACTCCTTCTGTTTATTTCTCTGTTTATTGTGAATGATATCCCAGTGATTCAGATTTTATTTGTTTAAAACTTTTGACATTTATTTAATAAAATAAAATATGATACATATAAAATATACTATATTTTATACCCTATATATTTTTTGATAGCTGTTGTATGAAAATGCCATAGAGCTGTAAGTGAAGAAGTACATATATGAAACTTAAAGTGAAAGAGATACATTCAATAAAGAAGAAATGATGATAAATTTTCTTTGAGGAAGAAAAAACATTGAAATTGTGTTAGCATGTGTGAATGTGAGTATGTGATTGTGATGTGTGAGAGTGTGTGTGTGATGAGTTTGTGGTTGTGTGTGAATGTGAATGTGACTGTGTGAACTAGTGAGTGTATGTGAGCATGTGTGAGTGTACATGTGAGTGTGTCTGTGTGTAAATATGATTTTGTTCATGTCCTTCTGGGCAAGTATTAAAAACTGGGTGTGCCATGGTTTGAGAGTTGCATGTGGAGAACTGAAGGGAGGAAATC